TTCACAAAGACTGACAAAGCCTGTACTACTCTGCCACCCTCCATTAATTATTGCACGTCTCGGTGCTCTTTCAATACAATTCATAGGTAAAACTTCTCAACATTTCAATTCTAGGGTTTTTATCCACTACGTTAATTATACTATGTTTTATAAATCTATAGTTATCAATCATGATCGATAAATCAAGTTTTTTTATGTCACTTTGACATTATTAAAACAAACTTTAATATACCATTAATTAACTCAAATTTATTATGACTACGTATTATAATCTAACAAAATTTATCCGAATAAAGAAATTCCCATAAAATTGGGACGAAACACTGAATTTTTTTTCAAACAACAAGAAATCGTTACTTTTTTCAAAATATTTAAAAATAGTTTGTATGAATATAGATGATTTAATTAATAAATCCTTGGTTTGTTTGTTTCTGTTGTGTTTGAGCAAACAATAAACAAGAACTTACCCCAAAATAATCCCCGCCTTGGAGCCTATCGTGGGAGGGTACGGACGGACACGAATAAAAAAACATGTTATTTAGTGATAACGAGAAAAAGGACAACGTTACAAAATACTGACTATACCCTCGAAAACATACTAGCTTTCACTATGTTGGTGGGTTCGTTAATGCCCTTAGTAGTCCATTTCAAGCGTCCGTTACGGCAAAAATTACGAGCGCAAAAAATCTACGGCCGTGATCCGATCAGAAGTGGGTCTGTTGAAATACCAAAAAATATGTTTTCATGTATAAATTAGCATAATTCCAAATCACGCACAAAGCTGGTTTAGCTTGCTTTGTAATCCATTCAAGAATATACCAATTCAAAGACTTGTTCTTTGTCTCTTTTTAAGTTACTTATATTTAGCTTTTCTCTCCTTGTCTTTCAATCTTTTCTATCTCGTGTCTAATGAACAAAATCATGTAGAAGAGTTGTTTTTTCAAGTCTCTATCCAGACTCCCTTTCTTTTTTTAATTAATTAGTAGGTTCTGGGTCTTAATTTCCGATTTTTAGAACTGGAAGGCTCAGAAAATCCTGGGTAATGGTGTTCATGGTACGTTTCTTTTCAATCTTTGCGATGAATTTGGTTTTTTGGGAGATGTGTTTCCTTTACTCTTTTTTTTTTTTTTTTTTTCATTTTTTTGGGGGGGTTTGTAGAGACGGGAGGGAAGGTGAAGAAGAAAACAGAGAAATGAAACCGGAACCTGAAATGCAAGAAAGGGAAGCGGCTTCACCAAGGGGGTTTTAGGATTCCTGTTGCAGGTACAGATTCCGATAATAGTAGCAGCTGTTGCAACCGACGGAGAAATTGACGCCTGAGAGATCAACGCCGGTAGTAAACCGGAGGGCGGTACGCTTCGCATTGGAAGAGCATGATTGACGCCATTAAAAGAAGAGGCGCTTTGTCATTCTCTTGACAAACTATGATCTTACAGGCAAGAATCTGTGGAAGAAATTGCCTCGGATTCAAAACTTAAGTACTGAGGATAGTCCTGATGTGAAGGTCTATCAGTCTCTAAACCTTCTGGGAATTGAATATGAAGAATGCTGCTGCAATGATAATTTCTGTCCTGGTGAGAAAATCAAACTTTCAGTTTTGAATATTTGGTTTGAAGGTGAAATATTTTACTTTTTTGTCAATTTACTAGAAAATAATTTACACACTGTGGCTCCGTTTGGTTCTAATTTTATGTTTTTGGGAAAAGTTTTTGAAAAAAGTTAAAAAAAGGTTGAATTGGGCGGGTATTACGATGTAGGTTACAAATGTAAAATACCCCCATGTTTGTTTTTTTACAAAACAACCCTATAATAAAACATTAAAAGTTAACAAAAAATACCCCCATTTACCTCAATACGGACAGGGCACCACCGTCGGAGGGTGGCCGGAGTCGCTGTAACAAAAACATTTAAATATAAGGGGTATAATTGAATTCACATTTAGGGGGTTTAAAAAATGTTGAATAAAGTTGAAATATATGTGAGTTTTGGGGGATTTTACTGGTTAACTTTGTTGGGAATACTAAAAGTAGTATTCCCAAAATCAAACAAACGAAGCCTGTGTTTTCACAAAGCTGACTATTCGTATAGTAAAGTCAATTGTTTGTGCTCTTGATGGGATCTGTCATATGCTACCTTTTTTAGCTCTTAAATGACTGCGTATTCATTGGTTGATTTGACACCTTTTCCAAAAAAAAGTATCATTGGTATTTGACGATCCATCACACAAGATATGAGCTCTGCCTTTCTGAAATTTTTTCAATCTTTCACATTTCATTCAACTTCCTTCAAGTATTGGTAATTGAATTTTCTTCCTGAAACAACTTATTAGCTGAGGGGTCCTCTGATAATGTTTCCAGATCTCTTCATTCAATGTTGAAAACCAATTTGATTAGATTGAATCAGTTTGTACCAAAATGTATTGCTTTTTGGTTAAATTATTCGTTTAATGATGGTTCTGAACCATTTTCGTAGAAAACTTAATAGGGAAAGGGGGCATGCAGAAGTGTACAAAGGGTGCTTATCCGATGGTCGATTTGTAGCACGTAAAGAAGCTAATAAGAGAGGAGAAGAAGAAGAGGATAGAGTGAGCGATTTCTTGTCGTGAGCTTGGGATTATGGCACATATAAAGCACCGAAATGCCAGCTCGATTGATTGGTTTCAGCACCGAGAATGGTTACACCTTGTTCTTCAATATCTACCAAAGGGCAGCTTGGCTCATGTTTTGGTAATATTATATTAAAAACATATGCCGTTATTTAACTGCTACTATAGCTTTCGTTTAAGTAATGAAAAGGAGAAATTTGTTGTTCGGATGTCTGCACAGTGTATAGAATGAAGATAAGGTATAAGATAGCTTTAGGGGTAGCGAGATGGACTGAAGTCTCTCATCACCGACTGTCATAGGCGATATTATTCACAGAGGCATCAAAGCCTCTAATATTTTACTCACTGATGACTTTGATGCGCAAGTTAGTCATTTCCTCAACCACCAATTCCAACTTCTTTCACAAATTTTTGTTTTGAATGTGCATACTGATTTTTTTATGTCAAGCAGATTTCTGATTGGACTGACTATGGTCCAGAAAATTGGCTCACCATGGTGTCTTTCCAATTGAGGGAACCTTGGGTTAGTTAGTGCTTGGAATAACATCTATTATTTCCAGAATTAGATTATTGTGCTACAGTATTATGGACTCAATTTGGCTCCAGAGTATTTTATGCATGGAGTTGTTGATGAAAAAACTGATGTATTCGCATATCGGGGTCTATGTACTGAGTTGATAACTGGTCGTCGTGCAGTTGATTCATGTCGACAGAGCCTTGTGATAGGGGTAAGATACGCTTCACTAAAATCTAAATCAATTAAAATAATAAAATCTTGTTCTGATATAGTTCAAATTCTGTACCTCCGTTTTGATCATTCAATTTCAACTATACTACAATAGTATCTAATATGCAGGCAAAACCACTTCTAGACACAAATAATGTAAAAGAATTAGTAGCCGCGGCTGAGAGAAGAATATGATCTACAGAAATGAAACGAGCAATGTTGGCAGCTTCAATGTGCATCACCATATGTCGATAAATCGTCCACACAATGAATCGGGTATGAAAACAAAATCATTCATAATCATCAGTCACTATAGAAATTTTCTTCTTTCCAAACCTATTTGGTTGATGAATGTGCAAATGCAGGTAGCATGAGTTGAGAGGTGAGGATAAACCACAACCAAAGGTTGAACGCCAACGCAAGTGCAAGAAGACAGTCGTTTTGACGGTTGTGATTTGCAGGATTACACTTGTGCTAGCTATCTCAATGAAATCATCGTCTATGCAGCTTGTATGGAATGAATTATATAATTTTGTATATGTGTTATTGCTTCAGCTGCTGGCTTCGTTTTTTCATTTTCTTTTCTTTTTAATTTCTGGGTACTTTTTGTGTGTGAAGTCTATTAAGGGTTTTCCTACCCTAAAGGTGTACAGAGCTCCACAAATATTAATGGTTCTCCGAGTAGAATCCCGGTTAGATTTTTAAAGTGTAAAAGAATTTGGGTTTTATTTGACAGATATTGGACTTCAAGTTTTTTTATATCATCGTTACACTTCAACATAAAACAATGCGCCAGATGATTGGCGTCTCAGCTGTTTTATCCTAAAAAAAATAAATCCACACATGAAGCAGTCAGATCCGAACAACAAAAACCGCAAAACCGATGGCCACAGAAATTATGGTTCACAGTGGCTCTCCTATTTTATCACTGTTAATTATTTATTATATTACCATCTAAAAACAAAACCTACCCCACTCAACCAGACCCGAACCACGTTTCAAATTGACCGCCACCTGGCTGAAGCCACCGTCCCCTGATCGGGCCAAGTCCACACCAGACAAATCCAAGTCCCAAACCGCAGCCCAACACAGCCCTAACCGAAGCTCAAATGGCCATTTCTCTTAACCCAAGAGACCCAAAACCTCATATTCTAAAAGCCAACATTCTAGAATTCATGGGTCATCAGAGCTCGGCGTTGCTTCGCTGGATTCAGCGTGAGACACCGCGCGTGAAGGCACTCGCGGCGAGGGAGCGTGGGAGCTGTTAGTGAAGAGAGCTGAGTTGAAGCTGAGTGTTTAAAAGGAAGGACGAGTGGACTCGGCCGGGAAGACTTAAAAGAGGCGGTGAGGTTGAGTGAAGGGGAGTGTGACTATAAATATAGTTTGTTGAGTGAGTGCTACGAGTTCAAGGGTTTGCGGAAGAGGCAAAGAAGTGGGTATTAAAGAGGCCTTTAAAGTTGGGCCTGTAAGGCACTTGCGGGGAGGAGCGTGGGGATTGTTAGTGAAGAGAGGTGAGTTGAAGCTGAGTGTTAATAAAAGAAGACGAGTTGACTCGGCCGTGGAGGACTTAAAGAGGCGGTGAAGTTGAGTGAGGGGATTTTTGCTAAAACTAATTTGAGGTTATGTAAAACTTTGTTATTTTCATAGCCATCTCCAAATTCTGTTTTCTTTTTTTTTTTTTTTTTTTTTTTTTGTTCATTAATAAAGTTTCTGTCTACAAATTGTTCATCTACAACAATCAATAATGAAAGAATATCATATATTTTGAAGAGTAATTCACCTAAAGAGCTCTGCAATGATCTATCAAATTAATTAGCAGAAAACCTGTGAAATTTCCAGGAGAGCAGAAGCCTACCCATCCCAAAATCCATGAACTTAAACCAAAATAAAGTATATTCAATCAATCATAAGGGACCTGCAGATCAAAGCATGCTGCCAAAGAGAAAATTAGTGTTCCTCACCCTCAGTCCCTAAACTAACATCTTCTATAGTTTCCAGGAAAACAGGGTGATGATGATACTAAATGTTCAACCCCATTAATACAAATTGATTATGCTTCGTTTGTTTCCTCCATTGATGATTTTAGCTTCGCCATTAGAACCTGCATAATCACCATTAATTAAAGCTTTAAGCAGTAACTGAGACACCATAAATAACCAATTATCACTAAAATATTAACAAATTAATACTAACAAAGGTTTGTTAATCATGTCGAGCATTAATGACAAGTTTTCAATTATCATACTAAAGATTCAAAAGCAGATAAACATACCAGAAATAAAAAGGAAGCTCAGTAATAAAAAGGATTGCAGATGATGAAGACCCAACGAAGAAACCCCCTACTCACTGATTAAAGTCCGACAAAAATCCCACGAAGATGATGATGAGCCGACGAAGAAAATTCAGATCTTACGAAGAAGATTCAGATCCGACGAAGCTCGTACGAAGAAGACGAAGTTCCGATGAAGATCCAACGACGATCAGGCGATGATGACGAAGATCCAACGACTGTCGAAGATCCGACGAAGATGAACAAGATCCCACGAAGATCCCGCGAAGCTGACGAAGATGAACAAGATCCCACGAAAATCGTTACTTTGGGAGGGGTTTGATTCAAACTTTTACGGCAAGGGTTCTACTGGTGAAGGATTTTTCACGATTTGGGGATTTTAATAACGGGGGCTATTTTGTTATTTTTTAAAACTTGTATTGCATTATTTTCAATTAAATCTCAATAGTTCAAAAATTCTCAAAAAACCTCCCGCTATTTCGAGCCGGCTTGACTCGACTCACGAACCTAACGAGCTGAGCTGTGTAGGGCTCGAACTCGACTCGTTTTGTCTCACGAGCCGAGTCAAGCCGGCTTATTATCAGACAAACCGAGCCGTACTCGAGCCGAGCCAAGCCAGCTCGCGAGCGGCTCGGTTCGTTAAGCAGCCCTAGTGGTGACTATGATGGCAAAAGGCTTGCAATGGGATTAAGGTGTTTATTGATATTTTGACCAAGGGTATAAATGTCTTTTCAGTTGTTAACATCATTTCATTAACAAATGGGGCTAAAGAACTACTGTAATTCCCAAACCAACAGGTACTTGTAATTGCTGAAACACATGGGGTCTACTCAAAATTTCGCCTTGGTTCCTTTTGCCCAAATATAATATTCTCAAATTTCAATTGTTCTATACTGATGGCTGATGTAAACTCGCTAATAAAAAAATTACCATGGGTAATGATATCATCAGAGTATATCCAAAGTGCATTTTATGTCAGTAAGCTAATCCCCTCATTAATCTAATAAAACTGATGAGATCATCCACACAAATGTATCCGGTTGAACAACTCATCCGCTTTGCCTTCTCAAATATACCATAACCAACCCAACCCACATAGCTAATTACAATTTTATGCTAGTTCGGATTATAGTAAAATACATTTATATTTGAAGAAGATATCAGATATGTTATACATTACCTTCTGTGGATGGGTTGGTGTCCCACCTCGAATTTGGAGTACCAAATCCAATCACAAACTGGATGAGTAAGAGTTAAATTAGTCAAAGTAAGCTTGAAGATTCAGTGTTTTGAAGTATTCTCTTCTCTTTTTGTCTAACTGAAGTGATATTGGTGAGGTTGGTGGGTTGGGTTCCCTTTGAATTAGAAATATCACATTAACGGATTTAGTTCAACCACTTAACATTGACTCTCTCCACATGCTTTTGATTATGACAGCCATTAACCATTTCATCTTTTATTTTATTATAATTAAGCTAGGAGATTTATAATAAATTTCATGTTAATATATTACAAGAAAAGTCGTTTTCATAATATTATACCAACTTAATTAGTCCACTTCAACTAATTCTAATAATACTTCGATAATCCTGAGTCAAAACAGAATTCAATTACTAATAATGCTTCCTCTAAGTCTTCGCCAATGCCATTCTGTAAGCTTAATTAATGGGGTCAAATTTTAGTCAAAACAAAAGACAATGAATTTATAATTAACAAGTGTAAGCTTACCGTAGATATTAGTTTGCTCAACAACAAAAACAATAAGTAAAAATATGAAGATTAAAGTGCTTATTAAACACTTTCACCTTCCACTGCTCACAAACCAAAACACAACATGAGAAAAGCCATCTAATAATGCTGAAGCTAAACCTTTTGAAATTGACCTAATTGGCGGCAACAGCAATTCATGATGTTGTTGCTTCAAGCATGCGCACATAATTACACTTTTATCATCACAAATTAACATGTTAAGACCTAAATAATTCACATCGAAAAACATACCACGTTTTCCAAATTTTAATCACTGAGTTTCACAAAGACTTGACAAAGCCTGTACTACTCTGCCCACCCTCCATTAATTATTGCACGTCTCTGGTGCTCTTTCAATTACAATTCATAGGTAAAACTTCTCAACATTTCAATTCTTCTAGGGTTTTTATCCACTACGTAATCAATACTATATGTTTTATAATCTATATGTTATCAATCATGATCGATAAATCAAGTTTTTTTATTGTCACTTTGACATTATTAAAACAAACTTTAATATACCATTAATTAACTCAAATTTATTATGACTACTTATTATAATCTAACAAAATTTATCCGAATAAAGAATATTCCCATAAATATTGGGACGAAACACTGAATTTTTTTTCAAACAACAAGAAATCGTTACTTTTTTTTCAAAATATTTAAAAATAGTTTGTATGAATATAGATGATTTAATTAATAAAATCCTTGGTTTTGTTTGATTTCTGTTGTGTTTGAGCATAAAATCAAAACAAGAATTTACCCAAATAATTCCCGCCCTTGGAGCCTTATCCTGGGAGGTACGGACGGACACGTAATAAAAAAAACATGTTTATTATTAGTGATAACGAGAAAAAGGACAACGTTACAAAATACTGACTATACCCTCCGAAAACATACTAGCTTTCACTATCGTTGGTGGGTTCGTTAATGCCCTTAGTAGTCCATTTCAAGCGTCCGTTACGGCAAAAATTACGAGCGCAAAAAATCTACGGCCGTGATCCGATCAGAAGTGGGTTCTGTTGAAATACCAAATAAATATGTTTTTTTACAGTATAAATATAGCATAAATTCCAAATCACGCACAAGGCTGGTTTTAGCTTGCTTTGTTAATCCATTCAAGAATATACCAATTCAAAGACTTGTTCTTTGTCTCTTTTTAAGTTACTTATATTTAGCTTTTCTCTCCTTGTCTTTCAATCTCTTCTATCTCCGTGTCTAAATGAACAAAATCATGTAGAAGAGTTGTTTTTTTCAAGCTCTCTATCCAAGACTACCTTTCTCTTTTTTAATTAATTAGTAGGTTCTGGGTTCTTAATTTCCGATTTTATTTAGAACGGGAAGGCTCAGAAACTCCTGGGTAATGACTGTTCAGGGTACGTTTCTTTTCAATCTTTGCGATGAATTTGGTTTTTTGGGAGATGTGTTTCCTTTACTCTCTTTTTTTTTCATTTTTTTTGGGGTGGGTTATGTAGAGACGGGAGGGAAGGTAGAATAAAACAGAGAAATGAAACCGGAACCTGAAATGCAAGAAAGGGAAGCGGCTTCACCAAGGGGGGTTTTAGAGATTCCTGTTGCAGGTACAGATTCCGATAATAGTAGCAGCTGTTGCAACTCGACGGAGAAATTGACGCCTGAGAGATCAACGCCGGTAGTAAACCGTGAGGGCGGTTACGCTTCGCATTGGAAGAGCATGATTGACGCCATTAAAAAGAAGAGGCTCTTCGTCATTCCTCTTCTGACAAACTATGATCTTACAGGCAAGAATCTGTGGAAGAAATTGGCTCGGATTCAAAACTTAAGTACTGAGGATAGTCCTGATGTTGAAGGTCTATCAGTCTCTAAACCTTCTTGGAGGAAATTTGAATATGAAGAACTTGCTGCTGCAACTGATAATTTCTGTCCTGGTGAGAAAATCAAACTTTTCAGTTTTGAATATTTGGTTTGAAGGTGAAATATTATTACTTTTTTGTCAATTTATAAGAAATAATTTACACACTGTGGCTCCGGTGGTTCATAATTTTATGTTTTTGGGAAAAGTTTTTGAAAAGTAAAAAAAAGGTTGAATTGGGCGGGCGGTATACGATGTAGGTTTACAATTGTAAAATACCCCCCTATGTTTGTTTTTTTACAAAACACCCTATAATAAAACATAAAAGTTACAAAAATACCCCCCATTACCTCAAATACGGACAGCCGGCCACCACCGTCGGAGGGTGGCCGGAGTCGCTGTAACAAAAACATTAAAAATATTAAGGGTATTTAATTGAATTAACACATTTAGGGGGTTTAAAAAATGTGAATAAAGTTGAAAATATTGTGAGGTTTTGGGGTATTTAATGTTTAACTTGTGGGAATACTAAAAGTAGTATTCCCAAAATCCAACCAAACGAAGCCTGTGTTTTCACAAGCTGACTTCGTATAGTAAGTGCAATTGTTTGTGCTCTTGATGGGATCTGTCATATGCTACCTTTAGCTCTTAAATGAATGCGTATCATGGTTATTGACACCTTTTCCAAAAAAAGTATTCATTTATTGACGATCCATCAACAAGATATGAGCTGCCTTTCTGAAATTTTTTCAATCCTTTCACATTTCTATTCAACTTCCTTCAAGTATTGGTAATTGAATTTTCTCCCTGAAACAACTATTAGTGAGGGGTCCCTCTGATAATGTTTCCAGATCTCTTCATTCAATGTTGAAAACCAATTTGATTAGATTGAATCAGTTTGTACCAAATGTATTGCCTCTTTTTGGTTAAATTTTCGTTTAATGATGGTTTGAACCATTTTCGTAGAAAACTTAATAGGAAAGGGGGCATGCAGAAGTGTACAAGGGTGCTTATCCGATGGTCGATTTGTGCAGTAAGAAGCTAATAAGAGAGGAGAAAGAAGAGAGGATAGAGTGAGCGATTTCTTTGCGGAGCTTGGGATTATTGCACATATAAGCACGAAAATGCGAGCTCGTTGATTGGTTTCAGCACCGAGAATGGTTTACACCTTGTTCTTCAATATCTACCAAAGGGCAGCTTGGCTTCACTGTTTTTGGTAATATTAATATATAAAACATATGCCGTTTATTAACTGCTACTATAGCTTCAGTTTAAGTAATGAAAGGAGAAAATTTGTTGATTCAGGATGTTCTGCACAGTGTATGAATGGAAGATAGGATATAAGATAGCTTTAGGGTAGCAGATGACTGAGTATCTCCATCACGACTGTCATAGGCGTATATTACAGAGACATCAAAGCCTCTAATTTTTACTCACTGATGACTTTGATGCGCAAGTTAGTTCATTTCTCAACCACCAATCCCAACTTTCTTTCACAAATTTTGTTTGTGATGTGCATACTGATTTTAATTTATGTCAAGCAGATTTCTGATTTTGGACTGGCTAAATGGCTTCCAGAAAATTGGCCTCCCCATGTTGTCTTTCCAATTGAGGGAACATTCGGGTTGTTAGTGCTTGGAAGTAACATCTATATTTCCAGAATTATGATTATTGTGCTTAACTATTAAATTGGACTGCAGTTATTTGGCTCCAGAGTATTTTATGCATGGAGTTGTTGATGAAAAAACTGATGTATTCGCATTGGGTTTATTACTGAGTTGATAACTGGTCGGTCGTGCAGTTGATTCTGTCGACAGAGCCTTGTGATATGGTAAGATACGCTTACACTAAATCTAAATCAATTAAAAATAATATAAATCTGTTCTGATATAGTTCAAATTTCTGTACCTCGTTTTGATCATTCATTTCAACTAATACAATAGTCTTATATTGCAGGCAAAACCACTTCTAGACCCAAATAATGTAAAAGAATTAGTAGATCCGCGTGAGAGAGAAGAATATGATCTACAGAAATGAAACGAGCAATGTTGGCAGCTTCAATGTGCATTCACCATATGGCGATAAATCGTCCACAATGAATCGGGTATGAATAACAAATCATCATTCATTAATCATAGTCACTATAGAAATTTTCTTCTTTCAAAACATATTTGGTATGTGAATGTGCAAAATGCAGGTAGCATTGATGTTGAGAGGTGAGGTAAACCACAACCACAAGAGTTGAAGCCCAAGCCAAGTGCAAGAAGAACAGTCGTTTTTGACGGTTGTGATTTGCAGGAGATACACTTGTGCTAGCTATCTCAATGAAATCAATCGTCATATGCAGCTTGTAATGGAATGATTATATAATTTTATGTATATGTGTTATTGCTTCAGCTGCTGCTGCTTCGTTTTTTTCATTTTCTTTTCTTTAATTTCTGGGTACTTTTCGTGTGTTGAAGTCTATTAAGGGTTTTACCTACCCTAAAGGTGTACAGAGCTCAAATCAAATTAAATGGTTCTTCCGAGTAGAATCCGGTTAGATTTTTAAAGTGATAAAAGAATTTGGGTTTTATTTGACAGATATTGGACTTCAAGTTTTTTTATTATCATCCGTGTGCACTTCAACATAAACCAATGGCCAGATGATTGGCGTCTCAGCTGTTTTATCCTAAAAAAAAAAATCCACACTGAAGACAGTCAGATCCGAACAACAAAACCGCAAAACCGATGGCCACAGAAATTATGGTTCAAGTGGCTCTCCTCATTTATCACTGTTAATTATTTATTATATTTACCATTCAAAACAAAACTACCCAAACTCCCAACCAGACCCGAACCACGTTTCAATTGACGCCACCTGGCTGAAGCCACCGTCCCTGAATCGGGCCAAGTCCACACCAGACAAATCCAAGTCCCAAACCGCAGCCAAACACGCCCTAACCGAAGCTCAAATGGCCATTTCTCTTAACCCAGAGACCCAAAACCTATTTAAAAGCCAACATTCTAGAATTCATGGGTCATCAGAGCTCGGCGTTGACTTCGCTGGATTCAGCGCTGAGACACCGCGCGTGAAGGCACTCGCGGCGAGGGAGCGTGGGGAGCTGTTAGTGAAGAGAGCTGAGTTGAAGCTGAGTGTTAATAAAGAAGACGAGTGGACTCGGCCGTGGAAGACTTAAAAGAGCGGTGAGGTTGAGTGAAGGGAGTGTGACATAAAATATATTATTGTTTGGTGAGTGCTACGAGTTCAAGGGTTTGCGAGAAGAGGCAAAGAAGGGTTGCTATTAAAGAGGCCTTAAAGTTGGGCCTGTAAGGCACTTGCGGGGAGGGAGCGTGGGGAGTTGTTAGTGAAGAGAGTGAGTTGAAGCTGAGTGTTAATAAAGAAGACGAGTTGACTCGGCCGTGGAGGACTTAAAAGAGGCGGTGAAGTTGAGTGAAGGGGACTAGGGGAGTGTGACTATAAAATATATATTTGAGTGCGTGCTAACTATGAGTTCAAGGGTTTGACCGTTCGAGAGAAGAGCAAAGAAGGGCTATTAAAGAGCCTGTCAGGATCGGCCCAGTTAATATAGATCCAGATAATCCTCTTTTGCAAGGCCAACTTAAATCCAACTTTATTATGGAAATTGATTAGAACCTCTTATTTCATATTGCATTTGCATTGATCGTAGAATTAATATGTTATAATTTTGGATGAGGTATGAGGTGTGCTACTCGTAACACTTTCGAAGAATTTTTTTTTTTTTTTTTTGGGTATCGGTGCCAAAGCAATTTACATGCACTTCAATTACTCTTCTAAACCCTAAATTAATAGTCAAATAAACCTTGATATTATCCCTTATTAATAATTGAAGATTCAAACTAAAGACCTCTTAAATAATACACAATCAAAAAACTCTGATAATTATCCCTTATCAATAATTAAAAATTCAAACTAAAAATCTATTAAATAATACACTCAAGAAATATAAAGTCAAATAAACCTCTGATAATTATTTAGTAATTAAAGACTCAAACTAAACCTATAATAATACGCTCAAGAATAATACACAGTCAAATAACTTCTAATAATTATCCCTTATTAGTAATTAAATATTCAAACTAAAAACCTATTAAATAATACACTCAAGAATCACAAACGAACCATCAAACCTCGGATAATTACCCTTATTAGTAATTAAAGATTCAAACTAAAGACCTATTAAATAATACACTCAAGAATCACAAACGAACCACCGTACTAGCTAGAGATAGTTTAAATTTAACACTTATCATCGATCCAACACATAAAATTATATATCTTTAATTCATTTCTATCAAAATTTAACTCTAGGAAATTTAATATGCTAATTGAATACCAAATAAAACACCATCGCAACATCTTATAGAATGTATTAATAATTTTCATACAGCTAAATCGATGCCCGTTCAAAGAGTTGTCCAAGAAACAAGTTACTTACAAAACCCAACTTCCTACTTATATTACTACAACCTTGGCATCAAATAAAAACCTACGCTCTTTCTTACTACTACTTCAAAAGGTTAAAAGCTAATATGAGTGAGACAGAGTCAAAGTACCAGTCAGCTGGAAGGTCGATGCTGATAAACAAAAAAAAAAAAAAACTGGAAGGTCGATGCTGATAAACAAAAAAAAAAAAAAAAAAAAAACCTGCTGCTATTGTTAGCTTAATTCCATCTACGGTGGAGTTAAAACTTCTTTAATAAGATTGGGGGTGATCAGACTGGGGATGAGACCAGAAATAGATCTCGGATGGTTGGGGCAGGAAGGCCATTGGAGCTGCCACGGGTGCAGCAGAGCCAGGAGAATTGGCGGTGCCAAAGTTTGTGGCTTGGAAGTTTTGGAAGAAGTTTTGCTGATAAAGAACATCAAATGGGATTCCACAAGGGATTGGATTAACTGGATGAAGAGGGGCAAAGTTAATGCTACTGCTACTGCTGCTACACTGTGGTTGCAGATCCTGGTTACGAGTCTGTTTCGGCTCAGTTTCAAGTGAGAGCTTCATGCGCTTGGAAGAACTGCCAATTGGAAGAGTACTCTGTGCAATAGCATCAACGTCATATCGGCTCATCTCGAAGTTGGTCACAGCATTTGCACCACGAAACTTGATAGCTGCTATATCATATGCTTCCGCAGCCTCCTCTTCAGTGGCTGTCAGCATATAAAATGTTGGATGATTATTATTTGGAAAAAAATGGTCCCATAAATAATGTTTTCTATGCAACAGATTAAAATAACAGTAGACAAGATGACAAATAAACAGTTATAATGGTGATCCAGCTAGCCGACGCTCCCTATGCTCAAGGAAATGTCAAAAAAGACAGATTTAATAGTAAATTGTTTGACTTTCGTTAATTGATTTCTCAAGACAAAGAACGAGATACAAGCAGTATGAAAAGTCAATCAGATTGAATTTATAATCATCAGATAAGCCACCATATGCTTCAGGCAATATATTCTCACCAAATGTCCCAAGGTACAAGTCTTTGTTTCCGGCAACACGACCAATCCTAGCTTGCCATCGACCCTGCTGATGATGCCTGCATAAATTATTGGAATACAACCATTCTTCAAAAAAGGTTCAATCATATTGAACAAACTTTTCGCCAACAAAAATTCAAAAATTTGAAATGGAATGAATTTATTATTCAAACCTTGTGACACCCCTGTACATGGAGGCTCCCCTTGAAAAACCGCTACTCTTCCTACCAATTTACAAGAAAAAACAACTTGATAAACTGCAAATAAAATCAAAATGGAATAAACTAAAGATGGCTTTCCATACCTCCTTAACGAGGCAATGAATTCCTGCTTGGTCACATTTTTCATCTCCTCTAGCTCTTTCGCGTAATTTGATACCTGCAGAGACAAACACCAAGCTCCGTGAGTAAGTTCATACTCTAAACTAAGTAGCTTTTCATGCAAAAGCTATAGAATCAATAAGTTGAACACAATTTTCAAAAATAGAATTGTGCATATATAATTACAGGAAAATTGGTGGTTGCTGAAGGACCCCAATATTTCAAAGCTGCCAAATCATATGCCCTGGCCGCCTTATCTTCCATGTCATATCCACCTAATAAATTACATAATTCAATTATAATTAAACCACTCCTACAAAATTCTTCTAATGAAAGCCTAAAAACAGGGAAAACAAAAAAAAAAAGGCAAAATATATATCTTACCCAGGTATACTGCAGGCAGAATAAAATGTTGAGTGACGGCAAGATACCCCACAATTCCATATTTCATGGCAGAAAAAAGCATAAAAAGAAAATTAACATTAGACAATTGGGTGGGTCAAAAATTTCTGCCAGGAAATTATTTTCTAAGCAAAGCCGAACCAAAATAAAGGAAAAACCCATGTGACAGCCTAAGTAAGTGCAAAAGATAGAGAATGTAATATCATTCTTAAGAAAATTGTGAACATGATTCTCTATTATTCAACTTTACTCATTCATTCACATATAGTGTTCATCAAAGTAATAATGTAATAAGCAAAGTATAAGTTAAGGTAAAAAGTTGAAACACATTACAAATTAAGTAATTGTTTTATTATGAAAAAATAAAAAAAAGTTCAACAGTATCACATTACATTCTAACCAGAGTACTGTACATATGGTAAAAACATTGAAATTTCGAAATGGGTGCTGTGGTCAAACCGAGTGTGTCTGAGGGGTCTGAAAGCAAAAGCAAAAGTTAAAGGTTTAACTCTCAGTAGAGAGATCAGACTTATTGTGCAGAGTTCAGATTCATTGGTGTGTGTGCGGTGGGTGAGGGTCGTGTCAAACAGAAACCTTATGCAGTGTTTAAAGGGCCCAGTTGATAGAAGACAATGAACAAAATGGCGGCACATACTGATCAAATCAAATCAATCACATATATGAAAGATGAAAAAAATTAAACGTACAGAAAAAAAATATTAGCAAAAGTACACATAAATATACCATAACCAAATCAATCATATCATAAAATACTTATGAAACAATTAATTTACTCTCAGAAAACTCCTCATTAATGCCTTCACAATGCATGCAAATTTCTTTTCAGGCTCTCCGAGTATATCCAACAGATATCTGTTCAATACACACACATTCTACATACAGACAATATACTTCAAATATAATATTTTAAACACAATCAAAAGAGAGAGAGAAAACACAGAAAAGAGACGGTACCTTGACGCCCCTTTCTCGCCTGACCCTCTCTTCTACAGCTGTTATCCCAAAGATGCGCTTCATATCTGCCAGTCCACCTGTGCCTGAAATCAAATCCATAGTAATAAAAACAAAACTTGAAAAATGTGATTGTACTAAACATACTTTTAATGTTAACAAATACCTAAAAACTAAAAAGAACCCATTAATGTTTCGGGGTTAAAAATCCCAAGAACTGATGAATTACATGCTAAAGATTAATGTTTAATTACAACTTACCTAGTGACTCCTCTGTAAATGGAAGTCCTTTGACCAAAAGTATCAGCGACCTTTCTGGTCGAATCAGAATCGACTGAAACAATAGCCTTCTCAGTAGAGCAGTTCTTGATATTAGTATTAGTACCATTATTATTATTGCTTTTAACCCCCAGGGATAAACCGCCATTAGAAGGACAATTAGTGAAGCCCAACTCGCTCCCAGTGGACTCAATAGAGTGAGTCATTAACTCAGCCCCAGCAAGCTGAGTTGTCCTACCCATGGAAGATGAGTCATCAACTTCCGATCCCGAGTTAGCCGAAAAGGCTTGAAACCCAGCAATTGCTTTGAGATCTTGATGATCATTGAAGAAAGCAGACGCCGAACTATGGTCATAAATATTAGTCAAAGACGAGTCCTGGGTCTCGGTTTGGCTGTGAACTATTGACGAAGAGTCGCCAAAAAAGTCCTCAAGTTTTGGAATTGGGTGAGTTTGAGTTTGTGGGTGGATATTATAGGTTGGCAAAAGAGTTGAATCCACCATGCTTGTTGGTAGAAATTCTTTAACTTCACCGTTGTCGTCCTCAGAAAAGTACACTTGAGATTTAGTGGTTGCCCACCCTACAACAGATTGTCAAAAGAAACGATTATAATGAAACACATGGCACAAAAATAAACGAGTTGGATATGTTCACCATAAACATGCCTGTTTGGCTGCAGAAAAACCGTATGAAATGGCAGAAGAATAACAAGTTAGTACCAGTTTTACAATGAAAAACGGTTTAGAAAAAAGAACAATTTTTTTCCTACGAAACAAACAAGATGAATAAGGATATTCTAAGATTTCTCTGTAAAGCAAGATTTGAGTCGGTTGCTTTCATATAAGCTATAAAATGGTACTAATGGGCTAGAAAACGACCAAGTATTAATCACTATGACTAGTTTTAGAAAACTTTAAAGATTTACAGCAAAAGACATGCATTTAATTTGTTAGAAAGAGCAAGAAATTGATAGTTACCCAGAAAAAAAAAAAAAAAANCCGACCCAATTCACTGCTAGCCTCTAGCAACCACAGCCGCTGCCACCGCCGGCCGCTAGCATTGGAACGACGCACGACCGGCTGGTTGTGGGCCGATTTTGCCGTTTCTGACTAGGTCTATCTAGTCGTTGACGACGACTTCATTTTTTTGGGGGTTGAGGGGGTTGTTAATTTTTGAAGTTTTATTGTGGGAGGTGTTTTCCTAAATTAACAAATGTCGAGGGTTAAAAAAATATTTTTAGAAAATGTTTTCCAAATATGTACCAAACAATTATTCAGCATTTTATTCAACTCTGATATAATTTTCAAATATTATACCAAACATATTGTTAAAATCCTATCATATTCTATTTAATCATATTTTATCATATTCAGATAGTTTTTCGAAATAACATTTTTTCAAATAACCTGCCAAACAGGCCCGTTATATATCTCTTAGGAGTTATGTTGATTTGCGTTTGCCTTTTCTTTTCTTTCTTGTTTCCTTGGGTTGCCATTATTGCTCAAAAATAAAAAATAAAAAATAAAAAAAAATTAAGAGAGAGAGAGAGAGAGAGATTGATCTGTTGGTTGTGGGTTGATGATGTGACTGGTAGGATTGTATGGTGGAAGACACGTTTAGGTGTTTTGATCTGCTGTACCAAAGGAAGGCAAAAGAGAGGCAAAGGAGCATAATTTGAAAGGGTGGCAGTTTGGGTTACATAACAATGTATAAGTTAGTCAACACTGGGTTTGGGATAGAGCACAATATTATTGTATTTTTATACATCCTGGCTAAATGAAGCTGCATGGCTCGATTGAAGACGATACTAATAACCTCATGTTAAAGTGAAATTTGTTTCTAAAGGGAATCTCCGGAGTCATTATGCTAGAGGATATCTTATTTTCTCTTCCATGTTTCCAATAACGAACCCACCTTTATTTTTGGCCTTGAGACTTGTAATGAGATGAGAGCCACTTCTATCCTTATTACTTCCCCATTAGAAATCCTCATCGTTCTCCCCATTCTTTTTGCAGCACCGCTTGGGAGTTTGGATAGTGAAAGGAATTAAATTGGAATGGTGGTCAAGACAGGCTGATTTAAAAGGAGTCTTCTATGTTTTGAAAGATAGCCTTCTTCCATCCTCCAGTAGCTCAATTTTTTTTTTTCCCTTTTAATTTTCTCCTCTGTTGGGTTCCAAAAACTGGGAAGTTTTTGGATTAATTTCCAAAGTGAGAGCAAGATATTTTGGAGGCCAACTCTCCAGACTCATTGAAATAGCCAAAATCTCTTAATACCAAGAACCCCATATTATTTGGGAACACAAACTTCACCTTCTGGGGATCACGATTCTTAAACCAAATAGAGTTTTGAATCCACCCTTAACCAACTTAAGTAAATTTGAGGGCCACAAATAGATCTGAAAACTTTGTATGAACACAGATTCAATTGCAGATTTAAATTGTGTATTGAGTTGTAGTGTTTGTTTAAGTGCTTTAACTATGAGATATGGAGTGGGGAGAAGTGAAAGATATTGCATGGTGAGAGTAACATCATGAAACATTAAAATTTTGCCGAAGTTGTCAGCCAGAAAATACTCTTATAGGTTCAAAATGCCAATACATTGCATTGGGGGGAATTTGCTGAAGGTAGTTAACAGTGAGAATATGGAACTTTTGGTCTTCCACAGTGTATCTTCTCTCTCTCTCTCTCTCTCTCTCTCTCTCTCTCTCTCTCTATATATATATATATATATATATATATATATTAAGTAACTAGGATTACATTTTTAATATTTATCATTAGTATGTTATTAAATTTTTGTAACTTAATTCAATAATGATTTTTTATAAGCTTGTTACTTATAGGATGCAAGTGAAATCAAAGGACCATCATGATACATGTTCAACAAATAATGGATGCGTATATATTTTAATGAATTCAACATAGTATGATTTATAATTTGAAATCTAAAAAGAAAAGCCTGACATTACAACTACTTTTATTTATATATTTTTTCAAAAAAAATAAAAGAAAAGCGAAAAAATAAAGGTGAAAATGGAAACTTTCTCGAAGAGAACTCATCCCATGAACGGATCTAATTGACCATCAAATCAAATAAAAAGAAAAGTAAAATAGTAGAGAAACCACCCAATTCCAGTGAAAAGAACAGTTAAATACCCAGTAAAAAATGAAGCCACCCGGTTAAAAGCACATAACTCTCTGATCGAAAAACAAAAGTGAAAGCTGTAGTTTCCCCTCTCTCAAACCCTTAAAAAAAACACCCTTTTTTTCTGCAAAAGAAATAAGAGACCAGTAAGCGAGAAAAATGGGAACAGTAAACCTGATGACAGGCCTACTTTCCTCTGTAAAAATGAACTCCCCTCCACCATTTAAGGTAAGCCATTTGGTAAATGTGTATAAAGTATTTTATTTATATAGCCACTGTAAAATCTATCATATGCTACAGTGATTTAAATAGGTTTTTTCAACTCCAATGCCTACCGCCTATTCTCAAGATTTTCTGAATTTTTTATAGATCGATAATTAAATGAGCTCTCGTACGTGCCACATCAAAAGACTCAAATCTCGCACCCATTCTATCTCTTTTAATTTGATTTTAACCGATGCAGTACAGTATGCACTACTTTAAAGTTTAAACCCAGCTATCTTTTCTAAACATCAGCACGTCCAATCAATTTAAGAGCTTTGTATTTCCTCTATTAAATATACGCAGTTTTTAAATCCCACCACCATGGACACTGCTTTTATGTTGTTTTACTTGGTTCAAGTTGAAACGTGTCGGTCTGTAGCCGATGGTATGAAGTTATTGATTCCAGTCATTGTGACATTTTTCACTACGTAAACACACATAAATAGTGATATTATAATATATAACTCCAATGCAACTCTTTTCTAATCCTCACCTTCATTATTTTCCGATATCTATATCCAATAAAAGGGAAAACACTGAGGTAAATGAATGAACAAATTTATGGTGAAATCTAAAATATATATCGTGGCATTTGATGTTGGTTGTTTTGAGAGAAAGGCAAAGGACAAGTGAGGATCCCATCCCCATATATATTTGGCATTGCATGTATGTATCTGTCTTCCTTATTCAGATCATTTGGACATTATGAATACATAGTTAAGTGATTTTACATGCATGAAGAGAAACACAAACACGTAGAGTTTGGGCATTCGTTGGAAACTCGGCGGCACGAGGTGGCATACGCAAGCAAGTAGACGTTTTTGTTATTGTTATTATTATTGTTTCTGGTTCTGGGTCCCGGACGATATTATTTTTGCATGGGACGTGGCCTCCCACTTGATCATCTCGATATGGACTGTTCTATCACTGTCGTTATCAAACGCATCACGCAACTTTACCTTATTCATGATATTTACTTTTATCTTATACACCAATGCGTCGAGTCAAGATGAAAATATTGAACTGAATCTCTTTCTTTTGTATCGGGTTTGAATGTATGTAATCCATCTGAATATTCCTCAATGGCTAGTTGGTCACTTGTCAAAATGGGATTTTTCTTTAATTAGTAAAGATGTTGAAGCGTTAGTACACAATGTCGGTTTAATTTAATATAAAAATAGGTAGGAGAGGAAGAGGAACGCTTATCCTTGCCGCACCAAGTTGCATCCTTTTCCTGACTTTGCTTCTACAATCCTTTAACGGCATGTGACATCACACGTGCGCTCATGCTCTTACCTTATTTTATATATATATATATATAATAAACATTCAACACATTATGCATACACACACGTCTCCATTTCATTTCTTACTCACCTACTTTACTTCACTTCAAATACACTTTGATTCTATTCTTATTATTATTTATAATTTATTATTCTAATGAATTAGATCAGATGAAATCCCCTAAACTAGGTTACTCTTAAGAAGAGAGAGATAATTGTTTTACCCAATTGTAGTTTAAACTTTTTTTAACCAAGGTGTTTTGGCTAGTTTACACGCACCTTCATTAATCCTTGAGGGAGACTAATGCAAAAATCCACCATCACGACCCCCCACTTAAATTAAGTATGTTATGTAGTTTAAACTACTAAAATACATCTCCTAATTGTAATAGACGTTGTAAAACTAGAAATTTAGTAGTAAATATAAAGAGAAGATAGATAATTTATTTGTCTTTCTATAAAAATATTTGTTTCAAAGTTAAAATTTGATTAATGATTGATAATTGGAGGTAGTATTTCCTATTATTTGAAAGATTAGGACTTTGATTTATTGTACCAAAAACTTAGTGTAGGTTAAGTCTATAGCTGCAAACGAATCGAGTTGAGATGAACATCATGGTGTTTGAAGCTCGATTCGTGAAAATGTACTGAGCTTGAGCTCAACGAGCTCGGGTAAATGGGGCTCGAGCTCGAGTTCGGTAGGAGATGCACAACTCAGTACAATTAGATTATATGCGGAACAAAACCGAGAGCCTTACTTTTGAGTTTTGACAATGCAAGATACAACAAAATCGAACTATTCGAGCCCGAGCACCACCCGAGTTGAATTATCTTGATGTTTTTTTTAGATATGCAAGCCTAATAAGGCTCACGAG